GTCCCCTTTTAACGGGAAAAAAAAAAAAAAAAAGAAGTTGCTTTAACTTGCAAGGATTTAATTACTAGTGAGGTTGGATACTTTTTAATTTGCATTTCTTCTGTTGTTGTTGGATTTTTTTAAGGTTTTTGCTATGTGTGTGTGCACTCTCCAGGGAGAAAGAGAAACACAGAGAGAGAGTGAGAAATTGCCCTCCCCTGGGGAAGACCATGCCACAATCCCTTCTCCATTCTCCTCTCGAGAATTTGGGCACTGCACCCAGCACCTGGTGTCATTTTCAGGCTGCCGGGTCCAGGACTCTAACTGCAGTCAGCCATGTGGGAGTCTAGCACCTTAGCCACTATGCCACCTGCTAGCCCCTCAAATGGATGTTTTAAAGCTCTTAAATTCTTACATTCTGTATTAAGAATGATCATCTTTGCTGTAACCATGTTGCAAATGGTTTTGCTCAAATAAGATTCTGACATAGAGATGTTTTAAGTTTTTACATGCTCAAATTTACCAACACTTTCCTTCATGTTTAAAAACCCCTCTTCACATTTATATTCTCCACACGTTCACTTAAATGATAGAAGTCATCGGTGCTGTTCATCAGGTATTTCTGGTTCATCTACTTTGGGACTATATGCCAGCTTCTCTTTTCTGGCCACAATGGTGTTGGGTGTGGCCGTGTGGCTTGCTCTTTACTCAATGGCCATGGATATGTGTTACCTGACAGTTTCCAAATGGAAGCTTCGAAAACCAGCGCAGGGGGACCAGCAGTTAGCGTAGTGGCTATGTCGCTGGACTCCCACGTAGTCGACTGCGGTTCACGTCCCGGACCCGGTGGCTTAAAACTCACGCCAGGCGCGTGTATGTGTGTGCCCAAGATCCCGAGAGGAGAATGGAGGAGAAGGGATTGCAGTGTGACCATCCCCCCTGGGGGGTGATTTCTCGCTTTCTGTCTCTCTGTCTTTGTCTGTCTGGTGAGCACACACGCCCTATGGCAAAAACCTCTCCAAAATAAATAAATAAATAAATAAAATAAAATAAAAAAGAAAACCAGTGCATAGGTAACCAGGTTTCTTCCTCAGTGTTCCAAACAGCCTGCAGTCTGGGGTAAGACAACACAGAGCCCGCTCTCATCCTTCCCAGGATGGACATGACCACCAGCGAGAAAGAAATCCTCATGGTTTTAAACCAAAGGGACTTGGGATGTGTATGTTACCATAACATAATCTAGCCTATTTGTTCTGACTAAAACAGAAAATTTCATCTGGCTTCCTTTTGCTTAACTGCCAGAGGCAGGTGTGTATGCGCTCCCCAGAGGGGTTACGGGGAGAGGAAGCACCCCCCGAGTGGGGAGTGGGCGTGCCCACAATCCCTTTCCTGCATGTCTCCAGCCCATCAGGATTTGTGGCACATACTCCTGCAGTCTTTGCAAACTGCCAGGCCTGGGGTTTGAACTGCAGTGAGCCATACGGGGTCTGCTTCCTACACACAGGGTTTAATCACTATACGCAGGCCCAGCCCCACCTAGCCTATCGATGATAGCTTCATTCTGTGGTCAAATCATTACTCCATTTGAAATTTATTTTGAGGCTAGCTTACTGGAGGTGAAATTATAATTACCCTTTATTAACCGGATGACACTGGGCAAGTTGCAGGACCTCTTGGAGTTTCAGCTGCCTCACAGAAAACATGATTGCAGTAAGAATGTCCAAAACAAAGTGTATTGAAAGATTACTACACATCAAATGCTTAGAAGTGTGCCGTAGCACGTGGTATTAGGAAAACGTTAGTGCAGCCACTGCTACTACCGCTGCTAGTCATTGTCTTCTGCGTTCTGCGGTTTCCTTCCATAGCCAAAATATTTTTTTGTCTTCGTTTCTGGAAAATTCTTCATCACTCTCTTTCTGGACAATGCCATTCCTGAGTGTTCTCTATTCACTTGTGCTTGCTGCCTGGGATGCACAGTGACACACACTTTTCAACCTGCAACGCCTTCTAATTACCCTTCTCTCGCTGTGCTCAGATACGAACCACATAAAAACAAACACTCATTAATTTCTTTCTTCTACTCCTATTGTGCACCAGGCATTGTTTTAGGTCCTCAATGCCGGGAATAGAACAAATGAAAAAATAAACAAGCAAAAAGCTCCCTTGTGGAACTGAATTACGGCGGGGTTATAGCCAGCAGACATAATTATTACGCTACCCAGTATATTACACGGTCAGTGCTACAGCAATAAGGTAAACGGGGAACAGGGAGAGGGAGCTGCCGTGTAAAAGAAACAGGCTTTATTATTGTATATTTATGAATTGTCACAAAATAGCCTTTTATTGACTTTTGAAAAGGTTCACGAATATATCAAATTGTACAAATTACCTGCAGATTGCCTAGAAATAGGCAAATCATCAAAAGACAAATCTGGTCAAACTGTATATTTTAATGTCACTCAACTGAGCTATATTTGTGGTTTCAAGGGGCAATAAATTTCTCTACTTTCTAAAAAAAAAAAAAGGCATCTGATTAAAAACATGAAAA